GGTCACCGGGTTCGTCACCGAAGTGCGGAAGATGCGGTCAGATACTCCCTTACTGATTGCAGAGTCCGCCGACAAAGTTGCAAAAACAGAAATATCCGCCCAGATTGTTGACAGTCCGCTACCGGTCGAACTAAGGGAGATAACCATCTACCTACGGTGAGTTCGCGTGGACCTCGTCACCCCATTTCTTCCACGTTTCCGCCTGATACTGCTCATCCGTATAAAATAATGGATCTAGATACTATTGAAACTTACGATTTTTTTTAATCGGTGAGATCGAGAACACCCCTGCCCTCACTGAAGCAGTCACACTTTAAGGCCATTTGCCTGACGTAATTTAAACTAAGTAGTTTTACTTTGAATTATCGAGTCAAGAATTTAGCTTCGCCAACACTATGTGTAGGGACAGATGCCGCTTGCGTTTTAAGTCAAACTCTTTGGGCAGATGGCGATGGTTAACTATAATCAATTAACCTTCTGTCGAATGTCATTATTTATTGTCATTTATACGTGTTTTCAGAATTGATTTAACTTTTTTATTCACCGTAATTGCTCTCAAAACTTTGTCCGAACCTTGACTCATACTGACCGATCTTAAAGGGAGACGTATCATCCCTTTTGGCATACTATAGTTCATCTGTGCTTTTCAATTCCAGCCACAATGAATTACATGAAACACGCAAGGTGGTCAGTAAACCAGGTAGATGTCAGTTGCTAGTAAAATGAGCAATTTTAGTCTATCTCGAAGGCTATAGACCGGACGAGCGTTTAGGCGCCAGTGAACGACATCGAAAACTCCCATTTTGTCATTTATTTGAATTTTGGATTTAATCCTGTTTCCTTTTGTTTATCTCTTATCATCGATAAAGACGAGCTTAGTGAAAAAGTCCGCAAAACACTTAGCAGCGCGCTGCTGTTAAAAGTGGTGCTAGAGAAACCTCCATAAGAAGCGGTGGTTTACGTTGCTGTTTCCCTGTCTTATTTTGCATTGTCTCTTTTTGATACACAACATCGCGAATATAGACGGCTAGTGGAAACATTGAGGCTGTTGAAGGCCTTGTTAGAACGGGTTAAACAGCTTCTCGAATAACTGTTAGAACTGTTGGTCTATTCGTTTTGCAGCTC